CCCACAAAAACAAACTCCAACCACCTTGTAATGAATGCTGTATTGTTGGTTAATCTTTACTTTTTTAAGGGATTTCAGCAATCAAGGAGAAATAAATACTTTTCCTTTTTTTTTTTTTTACAGCCAAGTTAGTACCAGTTGGCTATGGTATCAAAAAGCTTCAGATCCAGTGTGTTGTTGAAGATGATAAAGTTGGAACAGATATGCTGGAAGAGAGAATAACAGCTTTTGAAGACTATGTACAATCAATGGATGTAGCTGCTTTCAATAAGATTTAAGTCTTGATATATCTAGAATAAATGTAATTGCAAAAATTGGGCTGTCTGTGGTTAATTAAAAATCATTGTGTAATCCAACTCATAAATGTTAACATTTGGTTGATGAGTAAGGTAGAAGCTAAAACTCAATTTCAGGGTTGCACCCAACACCCTACTGTAGTACCCAAAAGCATGAGCAGAGGGGATGGAAAGTTTACATTTACCATCAACCCAGATTTAACATTTACATGGCTTTAAAAATCTGAAATGCCCTTTTCTCCATTTTGGGGGAAGTAGGATCAGGGGAAATTCCTGTAATTCCTCTGGAAGGAGGGATGGCTTTAAGTGCAAATAACTTCTTTTTTAGCAGATAAACAGTAGTTTAAATTCCTTTTGTTTTAATAAAGGTGATGACTAACCAAATACTGTGGCTTTTGTTGAAAGCTGAAACTGCTATCACAGAGGCAGTGGAGGTGAAGGTAAGCTAGAAGCAACAGGAGGGGACTGCAGTGCCTGGGAGATGCACTGGCACACAGGGAAACAGGCTTTATCTGGCCTGAGACAACTGTGGTGTCTTCTCATCTCCTGCTGTGTGGGCTCGGAGGTGTGAAAACTCTTGCAGTGAAATTACTTTAAACTTTGCATCTTTTCTGAGGCCACTTAATTAGTACAGCAAATACTAGTGTTGATAAAAGCTCCTGCTTTCATCTCCCAGGGTCCTTGGGCAGGCAGGGGTTGGCCCGGGGAGCGGGGCTGTGCTGCTGGCAAGGCGCTATGAGCTCGAAGGCCGCTAGGGGGCAGCGTGTCCCCTCCAACGCCCCAGCGGGGTAGCGTGCCGCTTCAGTGCGGGCACAGTGACCGCAGGCGACAGCTAATGCGGATGGATTATTAACTCATATAATAAACTTGAAGCATGCTCCAGGCTTAAAACAACAAAAAAAAAGGCATTAAATTAAAATGCAAAGATAAAGTAGCACAATCAACACCAGTTTGAGCTGCTTACTTGCTGCAGATTAGTTTAGAGATTGATTTTGACATTTTTTTAAGATTGAAGAACCTATCAGAATTAAGTTGTTTTCCAAAAACTATCCATAGGAGTGATCCAAATGCAAAAGCTGCCAAACTTGTGAAGCGTCTAGACAAATATGCATTTCTAGGCCTTTTGCTGGACTGAGGTAGAGAATTTATTGTGACCATGAAATGGAAGCCTTTATGTGCCATATTGGTCACTCTGAGATGAAGATGCTCAGTGCTGAAGCCTGACAGCAGCCACTAAAATAACCCTTTTTGTTCTTTTTTTTCACAGAGCATCTGTGTGTGGTTATCTGGCACAGCAGGCCCTGCTTCTCTGTTTAAAGGTCTGCCAACTTCAGACTATGTAAAAGCTTTGTTTCATAATTTATCTCGGCAAAAAAATCTGCCTGCCAGAGGTTAAAGCATGATTAAAGAATTGAAAGTAAGTATAATTACAGGCTTCATTCCCACCTTCCATAAACTTAACTCTTAAATGACTAGCTTCATCCTGTGTGTAATTAATGCATAGTACCCTTTCTGTGGCAGTTCTCTAGCTGTTGCTTCCACTAAATCATGTAGCTTAGTTTTAGCAATTCTGTCATGGTGCTGTTAAAAGCAAGAAATTAGCAAATGGTACATCAGAAAAAAAAAGAAAAAAAAGTTCTGCCCCAAAAATGTAAATTTTATTATCCTTGGTCATCACTGTTTCTGATCTCTCATTCAGCGTGCTTCTTACCTTTAAACTCTTTCCTTGACCTTGAAATTAAAGCTCTAAGTGAATAAAATGGTTTGATTTAGAAACTGTAACTTTGCTAAAGTGCAGCACTATGAGCCATCCATCTGACCTGCCAGACTGGATTTTTGTTGGTGTGTTTCATTTATGCTAAGCATGCCTGTGCAAACTCTTCAGTTGGTGGGATTTCTTTTGTGGTTTTTTTTCCACTTATGTTAGAAGGAAACTTGCTGCACAGGAACAAAACAAAGCTGGAGAGCACAGCCTCCTCAGTTACAAAATATGCACAGGGGCAAGAGAATTCTACAGAATCCACATGTATCTACATTAGGGGGTTTTGTGTAAGTATTTGGGAAAGTGCTGGTATATTACTGTGTCACTGTGCCTGTGAAAAATCAGTGTCTTAGAGTAAATGAGACACTTCTATCCCAAGTGCACCCCATAACAGAAAGATCAGAAGAAAGTTCCATAATTTAAATACGTGATATACAGGAATACTGGAAAAACAGTTTCAGCAGCAGTATTGCTTACAAACTAATCTACATAACAACCTTCAGAAGTACAAACTGTTCAGGATGCAGATAAGTAACCAGAACCTGTCTATTACAAAATGTGTCAATAGGTATTATTCTTGAATGAATGGTTGACCATAGAACTACTTCCTGTGAAGTGTTTTTCTATAGTATCTTTTAGCATGATGAGATGGATCCCCTTCATCTGGCTTTTTTTCCATTGTGGTGGGTTGAATGAGCATTTCTCAGTCCAAGCAGAGTAGAACTGTTGGTATTATTTTGGATACTCTTTGGATACAGAAACTTTCAAGCATTATCAGTTTTGTTTAGGTATCTTCCATTACTCTTGCTGAATGATTTGGAGATAATTCTGTAACTGATCTTCGTGTGAATGAGGTAGTAGTTACATTGCAAAATTGTTTAATCCACTTATTTCCATAGATCAGGGCTGACTTTGGCCTTACTCCATTCTATTCTGTATCCCTGCCTACTTCAGGGGAGGCTTTCTGATAATTTATGCGAGACAGGCATATGTATGTTCCCCCATTTGAAAATCAGTCTCTCTACTGTATATAGCAATATGTGTGCTCACACGGCTGACATGCAAGAAAAAAGCTGACAGAAACCTTAATTGCTGTAGTAGAAAGGGGCAGGGCTTGCTTTCATCTTCCAAGATCTTTGGGAAGGAGCTGTTCTAAGAACAGTCACTGCACATTGCTGACGAGAAAAGCAAATGAGCAGACTCTTTGGAAACAACAAAATTTTATTGCTTCACTTGCAGTACAGTCAGCAGAGTGGTACTAATACGTCATTCTTAGAAAGATGTCAGGGAACATGTGAAGAAAAACTGCAAAATGTTTGATTTGGGCACATTCAGCAGCACAGTGCCAAAATACTAAGATGAGTCACTGTGTATCAGGCACCAAATGACTCAAAGGAAGAGCGCTGCTTACCAACTTTCCAGCCCAAAGTGAAATACACTGAAATTCCAGTGATCCTGCCTGACTCTCCCAAACTCCGAAACTAGATCCCAAAGACCACAATCAGACTGCTTCTGTTTGTACAGCTGCCACTACTGGATGTGCTCATGCATGCATATATACATATATATATTATAGAAAAGCAAATGTATTTACATATAAGGCCTCAATTACAGTATAGATGCTACTTATGTGTGTTGGCAGGCCATAGAAACTAGGTAGATTATCTGAAAGGCAGTTTTATTCTATATATCTAGGCCAGTAACAAGGAAAAACCAGTTCAAATTTACCCAAAGCTTTATGCCTTTACTTTTAGTGGAGTTTTATCCCACATTCAACTTTTTCAGTTAAGTGGTACTGCATCAGAAATTGGTCCACTGCACTTAGCACATATATATTTGCATTGGTGCATGTGTGATTCTGCAGCAAGCAAGGAGTTGGAACAGAATACAGCATAACTGGGACTACCTCATCTTTCTTATGGGAGTGGACTCTATTTCCTGGAAGTACCGTCTTGCCTCTCATTTGGCAAAGAAGTCCAAATTTGGCTACAGACTTGTAACAGGATATTGTTGGATTCACTGTGCCCATTTTTTGAAGACTGGCATTAACGAAAACAAAATGTTATATTATTTCTTTACCGTTATTTGACACAGCAATAAAGAGCACTAAAGAACAACCAATAATCGTAAGCCTCTTTGAGCTGGAAAGTTTAAACAGAAAAAGAACAAGTGTGGCATGAGGCCTTTAATCTCGGCTTCTGCAAGAAACATTTTCACTAATTCCTTGCACATTTCAAAGAGCCTAATACCTATGAGAAACATCTGTTCAGTATTTTGCACCCAACTGGTGCTAAAAAGCACAAGAATAACTGAACAGAAACCACGGGATGTCCTGTCTTAGTTTTGAGTATAGAGTTTAGTTTTGATGAAGAACACTGTGAGAAAACAGATTTTCATAGTTTTCTTTTTTGACAACATAAGGTTGCAACTCAGTGTTCTCTTGTCTTGGGATTCTTCTCCAACTGGGGCACAGAGCCCCTGATAGCTCCACTTAGCTGGGATGTAGCCAGGTGATTCCTGCTCAGGGCAATACTAGACAATCAGGAGACTCATGACCCATTGATGTATGGCCACGACCTCTTGGATGAGAATGCCTCGATCAAGAGTGTTATCACTGATAGCAAGGAGGAATATTTTTATTATGTGCTCTTTTGATATCAATGAGGTATGGAACCACAACAACATTCCCTATCAAAAACCCAGCCAGAGCAATTCCACTTATGATGACAACCTCCAGTTCAGGCTGTGCGTGCATTCCAAGTACACCATGCCCAAATTATGTGTCCTTTAAAACCTTTCAAGGAAAGCAGCAAGTGCAATTAAGCCAGCTGTTTACATAAAACTATATATGCAAAGATGCACATCTGACTGGTAGATGTGACGTCAAGAACACCTCCAAATCTCCTGACAGCTGTTTTGGAGAGGGATGGTGACAAGATCAGTCACTGAGCAGTTTCACAATAGTGCACAGGTGCATGGGTGTTGTCTGAGCTCCACAGCTGCTCGCTGACAGTTCCTGAGCGGCTCACCTCCCACAGTGCCAATTTTAGCACCTCAGAGACTGTTGTCTTGACCTGGGCCTGGAACTTTTTGCTGATCAGAACGTAGAGGATTGGATTGAGGCAACTGTTGATGAAACCAAGGCCAGTGGAGAGGGGAATGCCATCCTGCAGTAAGTCATGCAGGTTTTCATCATGGTGAGCAGACAGCTCCACAATGCTGAATATGTGATACGGTGTCCAGCAAACAAAAAAAGCTACAACTACAGCAATGATGGTCCAGAAAAGCCTGCTGGAAGTCAGTACAGTTCTCCTCTTCACTTTGACAATCAGCAATGAGTAGCAAATGACCATGGTCACCAGAGGAAAGAGGTAACCAAATGCAAGCCTCACCCAAATGAGAATGTGATGTGTCAACACAATAAGTTCTCTGTCATGCACATGGAAGTTGTTGTAGCAAATGGTGACATTGTTGAGAACTGTAGCTGTGTCTCTGAAGTATAAGGCAGGGCCACCAATAATTGCAGCTGACATCCAAATGATCCCACTAAGAATGAGGGTGTTCCTTACAGTCCGATACTTGTAGGAAAAGACTGGGTGGACTAGGCGGATGTAGCGGTCAAGGCTGATGAATGTCAGGAAGAAAACACTGGCAAACATATTAAGTAATGCAATGAATGAGTTCATTTTGCAGAGCCACCTTCCAAAAGGCCAGTGGAAGCCCATTGCCACATATGTAATATAGAGGGGCAGGAAGAGAACAAAAATCAAATCTGCAATGGCCAGATTGAGGAACCAGAGTGTAGAAACAGATTTATCCCACTTAAAGCCCATAAACCAGATGACTATGGCATTACCTGGCACTCCCAGCAGAAATGCCACACTGTAAAAGGAAAGGGAAATCATATGGGCAATGCTGAGAGAGGACTGGGGTGATTCATCTTCCTCAGACAGGTCGTAGAAATAAGAGTAGTTCTCAAAATCTTCAAATGTCATGTTGCACAGTTGCTTTCTGGGGAAGAAAAGAGAGGGAACAGTCAAAGGAGAAATGTTTTACTGCACTGCAAATAGTAACCTGCAATTCCTTTAAGTTTTTGGTCATAAAAAAAACCCTAAAATGTTGACTTAGTTTCACACATTTATCACTTTTTAGCTGTCAGTTGCTAGCAAAAAGCTTGTGGAGTGTTTTGGTTGCAGGCACTTCAAGAAATGCTCAAATCAAGGCAACACTTGAAATCTTCAGGAACTGTTTTCCTTGCATTTATTTCTTAACAGAGATCACTGAGCACAGTATCACTGATAAATTGCTGGGAGACCACATGCAAAGTTTTACTGAAGTGTGATTTTTCTATTCTTTTCTAGTCAGGTTTAAAATTTTACTGCTCTGTTCCCATTTGAAGCAAGTTTTATGGATTGTATCGGTCAGAAATCAGAGAAGTACCAGGCATCTATGTAGGCAAAAAAGTGCAGCTAAAATGCCAGGAAGCCATTTTTTATAAAATTACCACCTATGCACACTCCCCTCAAATTATAGTTAACAAAATCATAGACAGTGATTTCTCCAGCAACTGAAAGTTCATGGGTTTCTTTCTCTCTATCACATAGATCTGTCTTTGTATCAAGGAATACTGATTTTCAGAGACATTCAATGTATTAGATTTCCTTAACACAGCAAAGGATGTAGAGAAGGAAACATACAGAACATATTTCAGGGACAATACATACAATTGTGGTATTCTTCCACTAGTAAGCTGCGAAACAGGCAATAGATGAAAGAAAACAAAGCTTCCCAGGAGAATAAGACACACTGTAAGAGCTATAGATGAAAGTATGTGTGTCTTCTTTCTTTCTTTTTTTAAGACAGAACAACAGTCTCAGTTTTCTTATGTTGCAAAGGCTTCTGAAACTTATAAACACAACATGATTTTTCACATAGGAATTTTCTTCTAAAACTCCAAAGGAAGAGTGTGGGAGGGAGAGGAGGGGAGGGGGAAGGAAAATATAAACCAAAAGAAAAACCCAGGGAAAGAAAATGAATGGGAAAACAGATAGCAAACAGAGGTTGAATAGGAAAAAGCGCTCAGAAGTTATGTGTTCATTCCACAGTACAAAGCTGCAGTACAGCACAGATGGCCACAGTCTGACAAAAATATCTACCATGGTCAAAACAACTATTCTGCTAAATTCTGGTGTCATTTAAAGCTATATTGTCTGGCTAGACTAAGCTGCTCTAAAAACCTGTCCCTGAGAGCAGGATACAACCAGGCCATTAGCTGTGCTATGGCTGAGCTCACTTCTGATCGTCAGCTCCATGCAGAAACTGAAATTCAGGCTGCACTCTTGGAACCCAGCCCTGCATTCCTATAATTCCATTAATTTTAGCAGGCTAAGAACAGGAGCAGGTTCTCCAGAGAACATTGCCTGCAGAACCACATCTGCAAGCCTGTATTCATGTACATACCTTTCCTCCAAGAAGTTTGCTTATTTTGAAAGGATTACTCACGTAAGTGAAGCTATGCATGTGCACACATAATAGGATTAGATTTCTCATACGTAGAGGGATAAAGGGGAAAAAATTGTGCAATTTTATATCTCTTGATAAAAAAAATATGTAGTAAGAGTCAATACAGCCTGTTCTGTCAAGAGGCTATGATAACATTTGCCCTTTTTAATTTACATCAGGCTGAAGGAATGTTATTTGGTTTGCTGTCTTGATAAAATTATACTTATTGGTCTTCATTTATGTAATTACATGCCCCTTGGGGGCAGGTTCTGCATCAAATACCAGTACCACCCATCTGAGTCATTTTTTCAAATAGCTTAACAGCTGCTGAGAAATAGTATAAACAAGGAGCAGTACCACTAACATCTGGAACAACATTACATTTGGACAGTTTCAGAGGACAGTCAGGTTAAGAACTGGATTTTAAGTATCTTTGCCTATATACAGAACTATACATTCAAATCAAATTTATGCAATTAAACAAAAAAAAAATCAAATTTTTCAGACTCTTGCTGATTAACATCCTGGATTCCCATTACTAATCAATTTTCCTTTTAAGTTTGTCAAGAGCTAGCACAACACAACAATACTTGGATTGAAACATTTCCTCACAAACCTTTTTTTTTTTTCCTAATGGTGCTAAAAATACATAACAACAAAAATTTGCCTACTGCCCAACAATGTTAGTTTTATATTTAGAATTTCAAATATGATGTATAGCAGGAGAAGGAAAACATACCTAAATACATGCCAAATATTTACCAAGCCTCCTGATGCTTAAAACTCCTCTGCTGAAAGAGCACACCTTTAGAACACAATTATTTTTCCAAGACTGTATTTTTCCTTATCTCTAACTCCTAGTCTTCCAATGCAGTAACTTTAGCAGTGGGGGCAAAAAAGCAGGAGGAACATTGCTTATCATTGCTCCTGGCACACAAATGCTGAAACTAGACTCTATGGCTAGGGCTGATGTTAAGCCCTGCCCTGAAAAAGATAAGCAGTAGGGGATTGTCAGAGGAGCTATGCTAGTTTACATCAATAAGGACCTAGATTTTTTCTTCTGGGATAACTGTTAACCATAATTCATCAGGGATGTCTCTTTGTGTTCTTGAAACATGCATAATCTCAAATACATCAGTTTGGGTTTTATTTATTAATAAACTTTCAGAGTCAGAACTGTCTTGCAGTTCAAGTTTAGGTCTTGAAAGTGTTCCTTATTCTGTCACTGATTTCCTGTATGATCTTTGACTAATTTCCAGGCTGGAAAGACTCTCATGAACCTGTCTGCAAACAGAGGCTCAGTAGAGAAAACAAGACTTTTTGCCAGCAGTTTCCGCTTGGCTTTCAGGCCAACTGCTAGAAAGGGTAAGGCGGGTTTGGGGCAGTTTACCAGCTCAGTCTGCTGGTCCAGGGTTGCAAAAAGGAGCCAGAGGGAGGAAAATATTTTTCAATAAACAGGAAAGTGTGGTTAGAGGCCTAGCAACAGGACTAGGGGACAGCCACAGGTTACAGAACAGTGTTGTATTGCATATGGATGAATATAACCAAGTTTAGACTTCATCTTGTCTTTTTTTTTTTTTTTTTAATAGTAAACAGTATGTGTAAAGTGTATGGTCAGCAGTTGTTTGACTGAAGTCTGTTCCAGTTTGCTGAGGTCACAAGCGGCTCTGAAAACTGAGCCTCCTTGATTCAGTTAATTACGAATATAGTTGCTTAATTTTAGGTGAATAGGTTTCAGAACGTTTGACCAGGAGGTCTCATTTCCTGTCCCCTTCTGTAAAACAGAAGTTAATTACTAAATAACTTCATAGGAATATCACAGGCTGGCACTTGGTGCTAGTATCTTTTAGATCCTGGGACAGAAAACAGAATTACCAAGAAACACAGATCATTAAGAAACATTTACAAAATCCAAAGCCACAGAACTGCTGGGAAGAGACTTCACGATGTGCTGTATGAACTGTCTTTCTCTGAATTTCAGCAGAGAATTAGAGAATCAGATCTGAACTGGCATATTCATAGCTTTTTACCACAAGTACCTAGAGTTCATCTTCTCTGCCAGCATTACAGTATTTAATAAAGTTGAGCCCTAAGGACAATTTGGACAAATGATTGGATCAGCTTAAAACAGAACAGCTCTTGTCACACTAAGAATGGCTTTATGGTTATGACATGGGACCAGTACTTTGGACTCTCTTCATGGCTATGCCACATGCATCCTGTTTGACCAGGTGAAGTCGTTTGACCTCTCCACACCTCAGCCCTGAGGTGAGTAGAATGGCTTTGGAATTAAATTACATTGGGTTTTCAGTCTGAAATAGGAGAAAACAAACAAAACAGTTGCAATTTCCACCTACTTCACTTGATGCAAAGTCTTCCTGGGGGTTCAAAGTTCTCCGGGCACCACACAAGTTAGGGTCCAACTTAATTACACTGGCAGTTTGTCACATATGTTTGGGTTACAGCCCACACAACCTCTCTCTCACATTAGGTCCTCATTACTTTTGAAATTTACAGAGAGGTTCAAGGGAAGAGCTTATTCATTGTCTATGCTAGTTAAAAGTTAACACAAATATTTGAGTGGTAGTCCCCAAATGTATTCGTTCAGTGTGATACACAGTGCCCAGAGCCTCTGTCCAGCTAAATTTATTTCAGAGGTCACAATAGTGGGTCCTGACTTAATAAGAAAATTATGATTTGCGGAGTTGGCTGTCTCAACAGTGAACTTCATAGAGGGAATATATTAGACAAACCCTCCTTTTAATGTCTTTATGAATAATTCTGAGCATATCACATTCCACATATATGATCTATGGCTAAAGGAAAACTTATTTGATTGATTCACTTCAACTTTTGGTATTTGCAAGAGCCAAATGTCAGAGACCAACTACTTTCTCAAAAGGTCACCTAAAGCCTGTTTGTCATACTGTGTCTCAGTAAGTTTGTCTGGATATTGAATTCATTTGAGAGCTCTCAAAAAATTTTCTTGGAACTTCTGAGGTGCTAAATTTTTAATTTATCTAACTTTAAAAACACAAACATGAAATTCACCCAGTAGTTTATCTGTAAAGTTCAAAACATAGAAGGCTGAGCAAGTTTGTTAGAGGTATATACATGTTTCTGGCAAGTATTTTACAAATAAATCCTAAAGAAAAAATCCTAAAATTCACCAAGAATCTTGATGAGATTACAAACTGTCACAGACTCATATTTCTCACTCAAAAGAACAAAGCCAAGATGACCACTTGTCTCCATGCAGAAACATTCCTATAGCAGGAGGTGCCCGATACATCCATACTACAAAATTAAATCATAGCTATGCTATAATTTAAGCCTAAAGCTGGCCCTGCAGACAAAGCTACTAGGAAAATAACATTATAAGCTAGCATACACAAAAGCAGAGTCAAGGCTTGTATGTTTTCTCTTTCACAGACCCATACACAAATGTCTGTCTCTTTACTGTCCTTTTAGAGGTCATTAGCCATATGGTTACAAAATTACT